AAAAAAAAAAAAAACCAAAAAAACCATGCCAACAGTGTGTGTGTGTGTGTGTGTGTGTGTGCGTGTGTGCGTGCATGCCCAGAATCCGAAGAGGAAAATGAAATACAAGGGAATATGGTGTGGTCACCCCCCCAGGAGGTGACTTCTCACTCTCTCTGTTTCTGGCAAGCACAGGTGCCCTATGGCAAAACACTAAAAGACAACAAACGAAATCTGCAAAAACAAAGCACGTGTCAGACTCAGAAGAGACCACAGAGGCAGTGATTTCGGTCTCTGGCCTGCTGTTTCCAAGAAAGAACTGCAATGCTCCCGCATAAGATAATTACTAAAATGCTCCGGTGGGAACAGAAGACTCAGATGAAGAAAAGCCGGAAGGAATGAAAAAGCTAACAGTGAGTGTTAAAGCTGGTGAACAAACCTAAGGGAGAGGTTTTCTTCGAGCTTCCTGGTGGCCAAGGGAAAAAGGGAAACATGGCCAAAAGGACATAGAGGTCAGTGGTCACCTGAAGGAACATGCTAACCTTCGACTCTTTTAATTCAGTCATTTTGCTTCTCGGGGGCCATCTGGGCAATGCGAGCCTGTCCCTGTCCGCCTACCTGGAACTGGGCACTGATGCTTGGTGGTTTCTTCTTCTTGTGCAGGTGCAGCAGAGATTTGGTGGTGCGGTCGTGTAGCAGAGATTTGGTGGTGCGGTCTTGGAGGGTCATGCTGATGATGAGTTTCAAGGACTTGGAGTCCAGCAGGTTCTAGGATAGATAGATAGGGTCTGGCCTGCCCTTCCAGAGCCCCCACGGGCAGATGGAGGGCGGGACTGGTGGGCTTGGTGAAGGAGCCTGGGCTGCCCCCTACAGACGGCGCTGGCTCTAGCAGAGAGTGCTGATGGCCGCCTCTTTTAGGGCCTGAGTGCCTACACCATTGTCTCCTCCCTGGGGTGAAGCGGGTGCTGAGCCCAGCCCTCTGTCTGCACAGCTCATCACCATTCGTGGTATTTGAACCATGAACGGCGAGAGCCCAGTGGGTGGGGCCGCCCCATGTGCCAACCAACACGGTCAGCTGAGAAGAGGAACGAGCCCCGCCCCGTCTGCAGACTAGACCGAGAGGCTGTTCTCCCTCTTTGGCAAACGTCACGAGCCGTCTGCGCACTGGACGGCCGTCCGCTGTGTTCGCGGGGTCCACGTCTGTGGGTTCCACCAATTGCAGATATGGACATGCGAGCTGTTCACGTGTGTGCAAGGGGGTGAAGCCTACGACGGTCCCTGACGTACTGAACACTGATGAGGGGTCTTCCCAAAGTTCACCAAAAATGCGTCTCATAAACGAAACAAAAAATGGGCATTCAGAGGGCCAATGGGGGCGGGGGGGGAGCAGCAGGTGGCACAGTGGTTAAGGCACTGGACTCCCACATGGTTTGAGTCTTGGACTGAGTGGCCTAAAACTCAGACCTGGCATGTGTGCGTGCGTGCCCAAGATCCCGAGAGGAGAATGGAGGAGAAGGGATTGCGGCGTGGCTAACCCCCCCTGGGGGGGTGATTTCTGGCTTTCTATCTCTCTGTCTCTCGTGCAGGTGCACGCACCCTATAGCAAAAATCTCTCTTCAGAAAAAGAAAAAAAGGGGACCAGCAGTTA